CTTCCAATTTTTCAAATGTCATTTCGGCATTTGTTTCTTAAATATACCGGATCTAGAGCTGTTCCTACCCATGCCTTATTCCTACTTTATATGACAAAAAAAAAGCTTGGAATAAAGCTTGAAATAATAAATTGCTAGAAACCATATTATTCTTTGTAGGCAGCACATAAAAAAAGCGCTTGTAACCCTTTGCCGTTCTGATTTTGGTTGTGGTAGTAGTTGAGTTCTACTGTTTTATAGTAGTCTGCAATAGATAATATAGAATAGCTGACATGAAGTAAACCAGTTTGCACCCCTGAGCTGTATATGGAACAATTTGGATGAATGTGTGGTTTAACTATGGTGTCACCTGTAAAACTGGACATCTTTATAAGGGAAGAATTGGCCAGGTACAGTTACACTGCAATAAATAAGAAGTGTTCAGAAAACCTAAGGTAACAAAAACCCAAAAGTGATGCTTAATAAAAATCCCCAAATCAGTTCCAGAAGTATTTTTTAAAATGCTTTCCAGTTCTGGTGATTTTTCTTTTCAAGTGTACTTCTACTACTGCGATAGCTAAAAACTGCATTTGCCTCTCAGGTTTTTGAGGCCATCATGCAACTCAAAGAGATACGGATTTAAGAAGTTGGGTATTTTTGTAGGAGTTGGTGGTATCTGTTAAGACTGCTTTATGACACTAGGGTTTGGAGCTAGTGAAGAACAGGAGACAGCTAACATTGTGTGGAGAAAGAAAAAGTTCACAAAAGTAGAATTTTGTTTCCTGTGAGGGTTAAATGTGGACTCCAGTATGTGTTCCTGTATTTGAGTGGCAAAGTTAAAACATCTTCACATTTCATTTTAACTCAAGTTGCTACTCAGAGTAACTTCTGAGACAGGTGGCAGGATGTCTCATCAAAGTGAAACTAGAGTTGCCCTGCTGAGATTCCACCTGCTATGTAAAAGTGCTACCACCTTCTTGCCAAGTGGAAAGAATTACCTGACTCCGGCAGATTTTGTGTCTATATCAGTTCAAAGCGATTCATTAGGATTGTGAGATTAAGCACTGGAAAACATACAGTGGGCAACTGGAAGGCTCCACCTTAAAACTACAGGACTGTTTAACATAATTTGTTTCCTAATCATAGGAGTGAAAGAGTGTCCCATGTTCTAGTGTAAATTTCCCTTCTCAAGGGTTTCAGAGCATCCACAAACCAAGGCTCTGATCCTTGGTCACCTGATGAAGGAGTTGTTGTTGGAGGCACAAGTGAAGTTCTACACTTAAAAATTAGCTTTTTGTGGTGGAAAAAAAAAAAAAAAGAAGCTAGTGGCCCTTTAGTCTGGTTTGGGAAATGTACTTCTAAACATATGTGCTTGCTGCATTTAGCATTTGTAAAAAGTTAGCGCTTTGTAAGAGCACTTCCCTCAGTAGCTTTTCATCTCTCTCACTAGTCATTAAATTTTCCTTCTCCCATTATGTCATGGCTTAGCGCTGCTCAGGTCACCAATTCCTCAAAATAAAAATGAGGCTGACAGCAGTAGCTGCTATAGCATGGTTAGAACTAGAATGGAAATACAAAAAACTCTTAAATGTACAATTGATCATATCTCATCCACCAGTATCTCCAGTGGATACTGGGTCAATCCTAGTACTACATTGTTTTCATTGATTTAAGATAATATGCCTATACCACAGAATATCATGGACTTGAAAGCAAATACATCAGCAGTAATATCCTCATTGCATTAAGCAATCACTTGAAATGCATTTAATTTTACACCATACTAGGTAAATTGAATTCACCACAAGCTTATTAATGAAATAGCCCACTTATTTTAGCCCCGATTTTTGTCCAGTTTGCAGACACTGTATCTCAGAACTGCTTGCATTGAAAGTACCCAAATATTTTGTGGGTTGGTAGGCAGATTTATGTCTATAAAACAGTATTTTGCCACTAGAGAGCAGGGACCTATCAGAAGCAGCTCTTCAGTTTTCAGATGTCTCCCTGGACGATTTTATTTTCTTTCAGAATCTGTCTTTAGGTGCGATCCTCCAAGCAGAGGCAACGTGCAGTTAAATGCGTCATTTGGAAAGCTGTGCCTTAGTTTCTGGATCATCTTGATGCAGCTTAGAATCACGGAATGGTTTGTGTTGGAAGGGACCTCCAAGACCATCTAGTTCCAACCCCTGCCATGGGCAGGGACACCTTCCACTAGCCCAGGTTGCCCAAAGCCCCGTCCAGCCTGGCCTTGAACACTGCCAGGGATGGGGGCTTCCTTCCCTTCCCTGAACTGCATTCACTTTTAGCCTTTTTCACATGTATGTAGACTTTTCAGATGGTTTTGATTTGTGGCACTGCTTTTTGGGTTTGGGGTGGGGTTTTTTTCCTATGAAGGGATGGTAGGATAGCAAGTTCAAAGTTATTAATTATACGTTAGTGTTTCTTACATCTCTCTTATGCATGCCTTAGCAACAGTTCACTAGTGGATTTGGACCATAAATGGAAAACATCTCTAAGCTCTTTTGAAACAACCGCTTTGTTCTTTTACCTGTGTAAACACTGTACCTAACTCAGTGGGTTTTGGAATCCAAACTCTTGACTAACTTTGCAGACATGATCACAATACAATTTTTAGTAACTCCAGTAATAACAACTATCACAGTAATAGGGGTTAGGAGCAGCAACTCAGTATTTGACAACTGTTGGCAATGTGCTTACAATTTCAATTTCTAAACTAATCTCTAGTGTTGTCAGTTAGGAATTAAAAGCTTAGGGAAAGCAGATATAGTCATTATTTTTGCGTTTCCAGCTCTCTGGAAGGTTGCTGTGGGCACAGAATATTACAATTCCTTCTTCTGCTCCGCAGCCTATGCTTACGGCAGCGTGCCCCAAGCTCCACGTTAGCAGGCAGCCGACCCATAATGTATGAAGTCAAGAGAGAAAAAGCAAGAGACACTTCCGTGGACCGTATGAGCACATTTGCAAATGTTTACTAGTTCTGGGACAAAAAAAAAAAAAAAAAAGAAAAAAGGAAGAGGGCTTGTGGAACAAGCTGGAGAAGACAAGTGTGAACAAATACATGACAGACCCACTGAGAAGCAGGACAGCTCTTCTAAGCCTGGGAGGGGGTGTAAGAAGGATGCGATAGTTACAAAAAAATCCACCCCTACCAGCTCTGGCTTTCACACAAATCATAGCGTACTGAAACACACTCCTCCTGCGATTCCCACTCTGTGTGCTACTGCTTCATCTCCGCCGTTTCATCTACCAAGAACACCGAAACGTTCCCAGTGCACGTCATAAACTTTGAAAATGTGTATAGCTTTCCCATGTGAGCGCTTCGGAAATTACAGTTACGTTAAATGCCCTGAAATTCTGCACCTTCCCGAGTTCACCTGCATTTATGTGCATTTTCGGGAGGCGTTGTGATGAGCCACAGGCGCAGAACGAGTCCTACGTGCTCCAGCAGCAGCCAGGGGAGCCAGGGGTGCTTAGACAGGCCTGCCCCAAGTCCTGCCCTCACCCCGCGGACACGGAGCGCTTCTTTGAGTCTCTTAATGCAAAATCTTGCGAGATTTCTGTCCTCTGTAGGAATCGTTATCTTAAAAAAAAAAAATCAAACCAACCATACTGAGCTTCTTCCTCGGGCACGATGCAGTAGCGCTGCAGGCGGGGACCTGCCCGGTGCGGGCAGCAGCACCCGCCGGGCACTGGCCGGCGGCTACGGCC